CGAGCAAACCTTTGTTACTGAGCAGAAATCCCAGTGATGGTAGGCCCAGTTTCCATCAGTGAAATAAATGTACTGTTCATGTCAATTCTAGAAGTCATAAAACTTTCTTAAAAGGAAAGATGAGTCATCTGTTAAGATGCAGAATTTTATATAATGAGTCTACATTAATGAAACTTCATACAGCTGTTTGTCTACATTCTGAGAGACTATTATTTAAAATTTATTAAAAACAAATATTGTAACGAATGCTGCTGAGTCTCACTTTTTTCAGATATAAACAAAACACTGAGGATGTTTTTGAGAGTTGTACATTTAAATCTCTGATGAAAATTGAAATTCTATAATGTAAATAAAGCCTATATTTGGAAACTCGAATAGGAATAAAAACTTGATAAAAAGAAGACAGTGATGTTCTGAAAGAAGGTTCAGGGAAAATTATAGTTATTATGTTGTATTATAGAACCAAATTTTTTTTTTCAGATGGGCATATAACAGTCAACATAATGATAGAAAATTGTCACTTCTAAGAGTTTTTTTCTGTTAGTTCCAAAACATGTTTTCAGAAATAAATCAAGCTCCCCCTTGAGAATCGCAACATTCATTATTTCTTTCCTCCCTGTGCCTTTGTAATTTAGTAAAATTGAAGTCATCTTGTGTACTATAACAAAACACCATAGGCTGGGTGCCTGAATCAACACACATTGATTTCTCAAAGATCCAGTGCCTGCAAGTCCAAGTGCAAGAAGACCAAGGTGCCAGCTGGGCAGGTGTTTGGCCAGCCTCTGCCTCGGCCTCTCCCTTTGACCTGTGTATTCCCATCAACTTCTCTGTGCCTGCACTGGGAGAAAGATAGATGTTTGTGCTGCCTCTTCTTCTGGAGCACTAATCCCACGATTAAAGCTCATTACCTCCCAAATGATTCCCCTTCAAATACCATCAAAGTGGGGATTAGGGCTCCAACATATGGATTTGGGGGCGCATAAACAGTGACAGTGTCTTGCTGAAGATCCCACATGTGACAAACATGCAGTCCATTGGAATGCAATCAATGCCACAGTGAGGAATACTGGAAAGAGGCATGAGGCATTTAATGACTTTGATACTCACAAAAGCATGGTGTGAGTAGCACATATGATGGGTCACCCACAAAATGAACCTTCCAGCTTCATCTAGAAGTTCTGTCCCACACTTTGATGGCATTAGGTGGTGGGACCTTTGGGAGATAATGAGGTTTAGGTGCGTTTGTGAGGGAAGAGTACTTAAGTTGGGATTAGTGTACTTATAAGATGAAGACTGAGAATCTCACTACAAGGCAAGGGCTCAGCCGGAGGTGGCTGTGTGTAAACTAGGAAGAGTATCTCACTAGAGACGCAATCTGCCAATCTCTTGTTCTTGGACTTTCAGACTCCACAACTGTGAGAAATAAATGTTGTGTAAGCCACCAAGTCTATGGTAGTTTGTTATAGCAGCCACGCTGATGAAAACAGTGAGCCCTTCCAATTTTCAAGGGCCCCTGGGAAGGGTCAGAGTTGGGAAAGGGCTGAGTCCTGTTTGTTTGGCTCCATGCAACACTGTGAAGTGATCCTGTTGACTCAGACCAGACCCAGGGCAGGGCAAAACCAGCATAACACAGAATGCAAGTAGAGAAACTAAAATGCAAAATAATCATAGCTGGAATTGTCTACATTCTTGGTCCGCTAAGAAATAAAGTGATGAGAAAGGAAAGATTTGGGACACCAGACGCACTGCAGCTGGCCCCTGCAGCTACCCTGCCCCTCCCCCAGGGAATGGAACGGCTCCCTTTGTTTTCCTTTCATTATTCATTGTTGTGTTTGGGTTTTTTCCTAATGAAAGGGGGAAAGAAAATATTACCACCCCCTATCATGTGATACAGCGGTTTCATTTTTCTTCAATGAATTCAGAAATACATCCTTCCTATAACAGATGTAGGTAAACTCTTTAAATGCGACTATATAAATGCATATGGGAACACCTTAGCAACAAAGAACGCTTACCCCCCCACACACACCCCAAGAAAGGACAAATTAGCAGCAGTATATTGGCTCCAAATCGTCCAATGGACATGGTTGCACCGTTATCAACATTATGTGTTTTGAAGGAAATTCATGTATACCTCTGGCCCTAAAGGCTTTAGGCATTATGTTGGGTGATAGATCTTTCCAGTTCTTTCAGGAATTAAATCTTCTCAGGTAAAACTCAGTCAGAACCATGGGCTAGTAAGAATCCACTGAATTTCTTCCCCAAATTACACGATGTGGTCTTCTCAAATTGGTAGGTAGAAAATCAGAATCTAGAAAAATCTTTGCAGTTCAGGGCATTGCCATTGCTGTTACCTCATTTTCTCTGGAATAATATCAGTGACAGAAAACTGGTGATAGAATAAGTGCAGATGCTATTTATCCGGCAGTTACCATTTGTCAGGGAATTCGCCTCACTGAGCTCATTATACCCATTTCACAGCTGAGGACTCTGAGCCAGATCCACGCCCAGTCTCACAGGGTCTGGCGCCAGATTCCGTGTCTCAAGTTATGCTTCGTAGGGGGTTAGCTCCATTCCTACTCTCTGAGTGAACTTGCAGTCATGCTTTTCCTGGGCAATCTTTTTTATGACTCTGACAGACAAATTAACTTTCATATTTTAGGAATGGGAGGTATGTTTGTATTTCAATTAATCAATGGGACCACACCAAGGGTGTTAGAAACTTACTAAAGGAGGAAAGCATACAGTGCAATATATTAAAAAAAAAACAGACTAAAGTACATATTGGAGCATACTAAAACATCAACT